TATATATATATATGCAATTGAAATATGAAGCATACAGAGTTAAATTACTATCGATCCATCCAAACCCACCCACCCAAGTTCTGTTTTCCAAAAGTTCGTCACACAAAAAGGTTTGCATATTGAGCAGCAGACTCTTAAATGTATTATGTCTCTGTAAAGAACTGTGATGGAAAAGTGACACCATGTTGAAGTTTGTAATAAAATATTCACCCAAGAAGTTATAAAATTTTAGAAGTTTTTATTTGTTGATGATAAAAACCCACTCTGGATAGTTTGAGTGTTAGTTGGACTTTTCATGAGAATTTCTGAGTCAGTCTAGGGGACTCATAACTGATAAGTTTAAACCAATCTAAACTATCCCCTTAACCATTACTGTACGTTTGAAAACAAAGTAATGACTGTTGTAGGCTGAGAAGTGTCATTGTCTTCACTCTCCTGAACATTTGTCCTCTTCTTTGTTTTGATGGTAAATTGACTAAATCTTTAGTTTCCGTTTAGGAAATCCTGTTTGCAAGAAGCAGCGTTTGGAGAATTATAATTAGAGTTAGTCCTTTGGTCTATTTGCACAGTTATGACTCCAGGAGTCTGTGAAGTGTAATTATGGTGACAAAAAAGGTTTGTGGAAACTCAGAGAGATATTATTTTCTTGTGTTTATATCTGATGGACTTCAGTTACCTTGAATGTCATCGTTGAACGTGCAGAACTTGTTACGATACTTGCTCAGCAAACGGAAAGCGTTGACGTTTGCAAAGTCCTCAAACTGAATCAGACAGTCTATTCCATACCTAAAAACACAGGAGACACATGGAGAACCGAGTTTATGGTGGGTTCTCAGATTTAACGTTTTGCACTGAATATAGTTTTTAAAGAAGTACAAATTACATACAGTAGAGAGAAATATTTATTTCTAAAACGTTTTGTCTTAACAGTTAAAGCAGCACACTATTGTTCTTTTTAACAAATAAACACCTGCCCCTTTAACTTTAACACAGGATGTCTGAATGAGTTTGACAGCAGGGGGTTACATTTCCAATGCAGAGCTTAATTACACAGATGTGTAAATTCAAAGAAAAGAGGCAGAGCAAAAACCGTMAACCTGCAGCACTCCATTTTTATACTCTTCGGACCACCTAGCACACAGAGTTAATACATCAGCACAGCAGCCATTAAACACCAAAAAAGCCCACCATTWTGAGTCTGTAAATTAGATTTATCAGCAACAAAAAGATCACAAAGTTTCCAAGCTTTTCAGCAAATTAAACTTGTTCTCAGGATTTTATTGGATGTTTGCAAAGATTGCTGCTGTCTCTGTGGTGACAGAGAAGCTTCCAGCTGTTTTTAATAAAGCAAATTTAAATATGTAAAGGAAGACATGAATTGGCTCATTCTTATGCTGTGAATGCTCCCCAATGAATGCTCCCAAACCATGAGTGGGAACATGCAGCTAATACCCAAATCTTGGAATATAGGAGCTATTTCTACCATTCGGTTTCATTTCTAATGTGAGATGACATCAGCTCTAAAATCTGAGTTTAAACCAAGGAACTACAAGAATCATCTCCCATGAACTAAATGTAGCTACAGTACTCTATGAAGAAAATGCTTCTGCAAGGTGAAAGCATAAATAACATTACATTTCAAGATCTTGCTCTTTGAATGATGTGATATTTTGAAAGCAGAAATGCAAATTACAATAATTCATAATGCAAAATGTATGGATTGTAAGAGGAGATGCTGAGGTCATTTAAAACATAGCAAAGCAACAGAGGKTGTGTTTCAGAGTGAGTGATGGAGGGAATTAGGGAGAGCTTTAGCAAACAGAACAAGTAGCTTGAAGCATTTGGGCCTCTCTGCTCACAGTGATAAGTGATAGGTGATGTGGGAAACATGTCACTCATCAGTATACATTTACCATCCAGGGTTTGAAAAAATAGGATTTGTCACGTTCAGACTACAGGAAAAGATCTGATATGAGTTGCCTTTTTCTGCAGTATAAACATGGCCTACAGTCAGGATGCAAGGGTAACAGGTTCAGGAGAGAAACATGGGTTTCTGTCTCCACAGTGACACTCTCTAGGTCATCCTGGTCAGAGACTATATAACCTATATAACCCCTCCAGCAGGTTCTGGGCCAGCTCAGACTGAGAAGAGATGAGAAGGCATCCTAATCCGATGCACAGACCACCTCAGCTGACTCCATTCGATGTAGAAGAGCAGCAGCCAAGCAGCTGAAGCTCCTCACCTGCTGTCTTAGAGTCCAGGCATCCTACAGATAAAACTCATTTCAGTTGCTTGTATCTGATCAAATTCTTTTGTTCCATTTTAAAAGTACTTGGTGAGGGCTGGAACACAGGAAGAGTTTTGCCTTTCAGACCAGAGCGAAACCCTCAGCAGACCTCAGTGTCCATCTCTGGGTCCATCCTTTCATCATACATGAACAGAATCTAAAATACAGAAACTCCTTCACTTGAGGCAAAGACTCATCCCCAACTTTGTAATGTTGGGAACCATGACTTCAGATTTTCAAACAGCTGACTCTTGATGTCTCTCAGCTGTGAACGGACACACTGAACACTGAAGCTCATGGTTTAGAGATGCCTCAGCAGTTAGCACTGATGCCTCACAGCAAGAAGGTCCTGGGTTTGATCCCTGGTTCAGATCCGTGGTCTTGCTGTGGAGTTTGCATGTTCTCCTTGTGCTTGCACGGGTTTTCTCCGGGTCCCCACCACAGACCAAAACATGCACAATATGTTGCCTTCAGGCAGTTAAATAAAGGTCAATAAAAAAAATAATAATAATAACGCAATTCAGACAGTGATAAGACAATAAGTTAACATGATACCCTTCTTATGACCTAACCATGAACACCACAAAAAAAAAATCAGAGACAAGGGGCGGACCTGGTGGATTCCAATCTGCACTGGAAACTGTGAACCACAAATGTGGCCACAGTTCGTGTCTTGGTCATACCAGGACTAAACAACCCTACTCAGCAGCATATACGTACTCCTACATCAATCCCCACATAATGGCCATAAATCTTCACCAGATTCACAAAACCCATGTAGACTGGGGAATCAAACTCCTATTACCCCTTCAGTCGCATTGTATCAGATGAGGATCTGGTCAGCTGATCCACATGGATGAAAGCCACACTGCTCCTCTTCAATCTGAGGTTAGTCAGTAGAAGTTCCTTACAACTTTTTTTTTTTGCTTGCAATACTTTTTGGGTTTCCATTTTTCCTGTCTCTGAGAAAGAAACTGTAGACGTAAGACAAAGACAGAAAGAATGAAAAACTACCTGACACCAGATGCAATAAAACTTCCTTATAGATTTATATCCTGARGAGACAGTGTTTTATTGCCCTTTACAAATGCAGACCGATTGCTAGCACTGCTGCAGTGCTGTGAAGAGACAGATGCAAACAAAACTAAGAAGCAATGTAAAACAGAAGAATTACGAGCCTAAAATAGCACTATAAACATTGCATTGTGTTTGGGCTTTAAGAGACAAGACAAGATAGATGTGGCCATTAGATCGTCTAGACATGACACCTTATGATTTTATTTATCATCTGTTATGATGCTGTCATTGGCCTCTTTCATAAAACATTTTAGACCAGGCCTAAGATGCCTTTTTGCCAACTTGGTTGGATTTCTGAAAGAGTTAAGRCAGGTGGAGAAGTCAAATTTCTGTGATTGTAATATTTCACTGGCCTGTCTGTGTAGAAGAAAATTTATTGCACAAACTTTTCAAACATGTTTAAAATTCCATTGACGAAGCTCCAAGCTTCTTCAACTCTCGCAAAGTAAATTAAGAACCCCCATTGGGCAGCATGACAGCCTAGTCATTAGCACTGTTGCCTCATAGCAAAAAGGTCCTGGGTTCCATCTCCAGTTTGGACCTAGGATCTCTTAGTATGGCCCACTAAGCACCAGCAAGGCCTCTCATGCTGGTCTTTAAAGCTTGGAACYACACACACTCCAGACACTTTGAACTGAGACAGCCTCCTGGATGGGAARTGAAACATCATCTTCATGAAAGAGTAAGTCAATATCTTGAGCTTGAGGGTGTGATGTAGTGATGATGATCTGTGGCATTGGCTGGCCTCAAGTAGCGCTAGAAGTTAGAGGCCCTGAGTTACACTCAAGACACATGTTGATGTGGTCAATCTGATTGTTTATGACTGGCAGCTTGAAGAAGAGCTCATCTTTGCAGTCAAAGAGACTTTTACCTGAGGTGTAACAGCAGCTGTTCGACCTTTAGCCTTTATGCCATTTTGATCTGTTCATAAATTCCATCATGTCAACGTAAAGCTGTCCCACGGGGAAAYGTTTTAAGACAGGTTCTAATCCATCAAATTCAGGAGCACACATCTATTGCAGTGACTCAACACAAAGTTGATGCTAAGAAATGCATAGATTTGTTGACAAAAAGTGGACAAAAGCCACTGTTTTGATCTATACATCTGATTTAACAAACCAAGCTGAAAAGCAGAACACAGTTGAATCTTTCCTGTAAAGAGGCTGCTGAAGCAATCTGAGCCAGTCTAAAAGGCTGATTATGCTTTCAACTTTTATTTTACTGTGTTTTATGTTTTACTACTATAATACTCCTAGCAGAAGCAAAGAAAATAATATATGCATTTTTCACCTTTAACATTTTAGGTTGAGTTTCTTGTACTAAATCAGCCCCATTTATTAGAAGCTGCTTAAGAAACGATCACTGATGTTTGAGTTAAAGGAATAAAATATGAGGAGAAAAACTATTTATTTCCATGCGTTTGTCTGACACACTGAGGACTCGATCCCATTCTTTCAAGAAACACAATCTGGCTTTATTAAAGCAGAAATTTCCAGTGCTGAAGAGGAGACTAAAAACAGATGAGGTGAGTCGAAGTGATTCATTTAGTCAGAGCACATTCATGAGGGCCCTCAGCGAGAGAGAGGACCAAAACAAAGGTCAGAGACAAGGGCGCACTGTCCAAACACAGCTGTTGAATCTGTGTGCATATCAGTGAGTTTGTGTACACACACTAAGAGGCTGTGTATTACCTGTCCCTAAGGGGCTTTTTGGTTGAGGCCATAATAAATCCCCAACCTACTCACTCTCCAGAGAGCCAGCATCTCTCAGCACACATTATTTCTCAAATCCCTGAGCTGTCATTAAAAAAGACACTTTCAGCATTCTTTCTCCTTTCCTCCCTTCCACCTGTCTGTCTGCTCAGACTTCATTCTCTCAGTGCCAAGAGTTTTAAAATACCTGGTGGCATTCCTGTAGTCCTCGCATGCCAAGCAAATTTGTATGGAAAATGTCCAAGACCTCCTTTCTGTCAACCATTTGTGATATGAACAGTTGTGGATCAAGATGTTAAAATGATCCTAATTAAACTACAGCAATTAGCTACAAGAAAATAACTGAAAATTAAGTGAACAACACTGGTTTAACTTTAATATTTATTCAAATAAATGAGATGTACTTGATAGACTGCTGCAGGCCAACAAGTCAACACACTAACCACATGCCCCCTCATGATGGACTCTAAAAGTCAGGACAGTACCAGTTAACTTTAAACTGGTCATGTGTAGCTCGTATGTGTGAGCATGTCTTTGTATTGGTGTGTGGACATATTTTATGCTATGCTTGTAAGGACATTTTGTCATTGTGTGGAAATTAGCCTGGTCTACACAATGAAAAATAAACTTTTGTGGATCAGGGGTTAGGGTGAGTTTAGGTTTAGGGTCAGGCAGTAGAAATTAACGGAAGCCAATGCAAAATCCACACCAGTATAGAGATACGAGTGTGTGTGTTGATGGTCTATTTATCCTGGTCACAGACTAACACTACAATCTTTCAAGGAAACTACTTGATGCATTCTGGAGAGGCTGCTTTCTGTTACTAATTAAAAAAAACATTTATAGTCAGAATTCATAAAAGCAGCCAGGAGTGGAGGGTGTCCAGTTTTATTTTTAACTCAGACTAGATCATTACAAATTATGTGGTCTTGTTGGTTCCATCGGGAAATGACCACATTCATGAAAGTGAGGGTTGGAACAGAATGTAACATCTGCAATGGGGACTTTGGACATAAAGAAAGAGATTGATCAGACAACTAATGGTCTAAAACCAGGTACCACTGGCTGCATTCAAAATCCCTTCCATTGATACTTGTTTTGTGTCAACCATTTGCAAGTTTAGTCAGTTCTTGAACCATCATAAACTGAACTGGGATGCAAACAGGAAAAGATAGTTTACGAAAATGCTACTGGGTACTAAAGCAGAACCAGTGAAGTCTATAGAATCTGCTAACAAGAAAAAAAAATGCTAAACAGTGAAGAAATTCAAGTTGTTTGAAACTTGTAGTATTTATAAGGCAGAAGAAGGACTAAGATGATAGAATAGTGCAGTCCTCAACAACAAAGGCATGAAACCATCACATCTTAAAGGAGACCAATTATGGGTCCTTGAAATTTTTATGGTATGTCTGTGGGCTATCCAGACCATGTTCATTCAATTTAATGCACAAAATAATTCTCAGATAMTAAAATTTCCCATTTTCTAGTTCTGCCTGCTCTGACTTCCGTTCAGAAGAGCTGTTTATGTTAATGAGCTCTGTTGGTAACGCCCTCCAAAAGTCTGTTGACATTAACTCCGCCCTCCAAAGCCAGCATTTACCTTAGCATGGCTAATAATAGCAGAAGCTCCGTTGTACAACCATATGAGACCCAGAGGCAGAGTCTGGTCAGCTTCTTTTTTTTCTCTCCCTCCTCTGCTCTGCGCTCACTCTGCATGCTGTTACCAGAGCAGGGAGCAGCAACGGTGAAAATACCTCAGAAACTCGAACAAATARGCTTTAACAAGGCTTTAATAAGCTAAACAATAGAGGTACATGAGAAAACATGTTCATAACGAATGAAAATAAATAAATAATTAAATTGTGTCCGTGCCAGTCTCAATCCCTGGTCTCCCACTCTCTGGTCCAACACTCTACCCATTGCCCTATTGGAGGCCTGTTGTGAAATGAACTGTGCATTGCACAACAACACCGTGACGGCTCTTTATACTGAGGAGGAGGAGTCTCTCCCGGGGGTTGCTACATAAGGGGCTGAACGCAGGTTCGGGTGGGTTGTCATACGGCTTGTGACATCACAAAATGACRGAAGTATAAAACTTGTCGTTAATATACATTAAAATACATTTACTTACAGTAAATATGCCCCTGGGTGCATTTTTTTGGTCCTAGGACTGTTTTTTAAAGAAGTACATACCCAAAGTTGAGTAAAAAAAAACTTTAAAAAGTGAATTTTGCATAATAGATCCGCTTTAAGCTCCACTTTTCAACCAGGGTTAATGATAAGGGTATGACCAGTTATTTATTGATTGATTTAATTAAAAGAAACAGAACAAAAAGATCCACAATGGGACGCTCATTTTTCATTATCGTGACTGGTGCTGACGAGTGCCACGAGGAGAACGGCCACTCTGAGCAGGAGCACGATGGCTCAATGGCTAGCATAATCACCTCACAGCAAGAGGATCCTAGGTTCGATCCCCAGTTCAGACCTGGGGTCTCTCTGTATGGAGCTTGCATGTTCTCCTTGTGCTTGTGTGGGTTTTCTCTGGGTACTCTGGTTTCTACCACCTCTAAAAACATGTACAATAGGTTGCCTTCAGGCCCAGGCCGCCCTTGAAAAAGATATCTGAGATCTCAACGGGACTTGCCTGGTTAAACAACCGTAAAAACAAAACGTTCTGGGCGGGTTTCAGGCTGTGGGATGCGGCTCTTATACGGGAAGCTGCTCTGGATAATTGACAAAGGTGACATGCTGCCGCTCTCCGGTCATTCGCCATCCTGGGTTCTGCTGCCTAGTTTGATCATTTATGTCAGATAATAAAAGAATATATGCTTCTAGCCCTGACCTTTGTCTGGTTGGTACTTAGAGAGCTACATATTTTCTAAGGTGATACTCTTTGTAAAAAGTTTCAGATCCACTGGTCTAAAACGTGAGTTAAAGGAAAATCAAACGGGTTTTCTCTGTAGTCTGATGTACTTTTAACAACAGGGTGAAGAGCTTTGTGAGAACTTTGATTTTTCAGCCTTTTCACATGTGGGGTGTTTCAGACATAAAACTAAGGAGACTGATGAAGTGTACCCATGCGTGACCAAAGGTCCTAAAAAAGTCCTCATAACACCTTCAGTGTTTTTCTCTTGAAACAGCTGTGAGTGTGTAGCAATACTGTGATCCCAATTTCACCTGCAATCAGTAGTAACATTGTTCAATAGGACCTGAAGTGGAAAGATGGTTAGAAATCCAGCATCAGATTATATCACTGATAGAAAGTCTTTAATAAAACAGTWCCTTTCAGTAATGAACTAAAGACATTCTTTCAGACTTCAGCTTATTGATGATGACTCATTGTGAGCTATTTTAGCTCGTGTTTAGTTTCTTAGAAAACTAAACATGAATATTACTTGAAGACGGCAGAGCTGTAATCATTCATTGAATCCTTGAGCCCATAATTATTCATTTTCCGCCAATCTGGCTCCGGTGAAGAAAAAAGAAAAAGCATGTCTGTTCCTTGTAGTTGGGAAGCTACCCGGTTATTAAAGTCATGGCTTCCTGTTGCCAGCTGGAGGGGGCCCAGACCCAGACTTCACTTTCTGGACTCCAGTCTCTCTGGGTTAGGATAAGGCTGTGTGTGTGTGTGTGTGTGTGTGTGTGTGTGTGTGTGTGTGTGTGTGTGTGTGTGNGTGTGTGTGTGTGTGTGTGTGTGTGTGTGTGTGTGTGTGTGTGTGGTGGAGATGACTCCATGGCACATGGGCACAGACACATTGGCCTGCTCACCAAGACAAGACCATACAGAAGTCTTAATCAAGAATCAGACCACAGCCACGTTAATCACAACAGGAAGCAACATGTCTCACCTAATGACAGCTCAGAAGACAAAAATGAGCATCAGGCTTGTGTTAACTAAGTAAAGTGACTGTATGGACCACTGAACCATGCTTTGATGTCTTTATATTGAAGATAAAAATAACTAAACGCTACAAAAAAAGCTCAATATTTCAGCAGTTTGAATGTGGGGGGGGGGATTTGGTTTAATATTTTTTCAAGACAATTTCTGGTACAAAAAAATTAATGTTTGAACAAAATAGCAACCTATTCATTCTGTAAACACCTACTGCAATAACATACTCACATTCATACACAACCTAAAAACATTAGTATAATGACCTAATAAGACTTTTTTAAATATTCTATTAAACTTGTTAACGTTCCTATGAAGCACTCAGCTCAGTGTTGTATAAGTTACATTATTGTTAATTTCACCTCCAGACTGGATGAAAACTTGCAGCTAAAGCAGTTCAAAGAGGGTGAAACTAAATGATTGTTGATTTTAACTCCAGACCTCAGAATGCCACATACCACAATATTTATCTGAATAGCATGCAAACTGCTAAACTGCTTAAAATTTTTCTTTTAAGAGGATGGAGGGATTTCTGGCCTGGGATGATGATAGCAGATGAATGATGATAAACGATGAAAGGAAGTGGGTAGAGGATGACTCAAAGGTCAGCATGGTTATACCTGTCTGAAACTGCCGTCATAAATTCATCTAGCAGGTCATCGTAGGCCTGGCCTCGAACCCTCTTGTGCCTCAGTCCGATGTACAGGGGATCTTTTAGCAGTGCCTATAGTAAAGGAAAGAAGAAAAAAACAGTGGATGCAGATGTCAGAGAAATATGGAACAGAAAAATATATTAAAAAAGACAGGACCATGTTTGTGAAAGAACTTTCTAAAAGGAAACAAAATGCATACGCATTGAAGTGCCAAGTTTTCAATCTTTACTGCAACAAAAACTTTATCCAAGGCTTATCAAAAACACTCAGCTTAATCAGGATTAATGTTAATTGTAGCTACTTAATGTGGTGTAAAGTAAATATTCAAAAACTACAAAAAATAAATAAATACAAAAATAYGCAAAATTAATAAAATGAAAATTAGAAAGCAAATTAAAAAAACCAGCCCCATTTGAAGCTCTGTAGTGCAGGTATACCTCCTTACAAAAAGAGAACTTAGTTTAAATGTTTCACTTTACACGCCTAAGATGACAATTTGATTCTGAATATTTAATGTTTTATGTTTTGTGAAGAGTATGTCATCAAATGTTCAGTTTACAGATGGTAAAATACTCTTTACACTTTAGCTGTCTAAACTTTCCAAACCTTTTCAAACTCATAGTCATTAGATTTTTATACATTATCTACACTAAAATGTTGATATTTTTGTCTTCTTTCATCCTGTYTTTGATTGCTGAAGGACTTATGGTTTTCTCTCAAATTCCCTTAGAGAAGGGTCTKCACTGTGCACACATAAATAAGCATTGATCTGAGAATCTTCTCTTTAAAACTGGATGTAAAGAGTTACATCATTGTCATAGCTTCATCATAAAGCACTGCAGATCCAAAAAAAAAGACCTGTGACTATTGGATGCTTTTGCCACCTTTTTGTTTACAATCAACTTTTTTTTACTCAGTGACTCTGTGGTGAGACACACAGGTTATCTTGCTGAGGTGGTGGACATGAGGAGGAACAAGGCACTGGGTGGGGAGGGATCAGTGTGGACATAGTGGAAGACTACAAATATTTGTGGGTACATATTGATAATAAACTGGACTAGGTCAAAAACACAGACACCGTCTATAGAGAGGGCCAAAGTCGTCTTTACTTTCTGAGACATCTAAGGTCCTTCAACATCACCTCGACGATGCTCAGGATCTTCTATGAGTCTGTGGTGGGGAGTGCCATCCTCTATGCTATGGCCTGCTGGGGCAGCAGACTGAGGGGGGCAGATGCCAACAGACTCAACAAGCTGATCCAAAAGGCAGGAGATGTTGTGGGAGTAGAGCTGGACTCTCTGACTGCAGTGTCTGAGAGGAGGATGCTGGCAAAGCTGCAGGAAGTCATGGACAACAGTTATCACCCTCTCTACGATCATGGTCATGGGTGTGGCTTCTTTGCGGCGGGGGGCTGGCCGGGCGTCCTGGTGTGGCCCGGGCCGGGCCTTGGCTATCAGCTCCTCTCCACCTCAGAATGAATGGGTCTACCTCCTGGGTT